CCACACCTACTAAGCGCTCGGTCCTGCGTTCGCTCGTCTGTTGAGTGCCTTTTTCCCACGTCGTCGTCGTCGCTTGAGCACTGGATCGCCATGTCGAGTGCCATTTGATTGATTGATCACTGCGAGTCCAATAAGATACCTACTTCTTCATGGTGTCTGTCCTCTCTGTGTCGTGCGACTGAGTGCTACCAGCGGTGCTACCAGCGGAGGAGATGCAGTGAGCGTGCCACGCGTGAGAGATACGCAGCTCCGAGAGCGACTCGACACTTTGTACGCATGCAGAACCGACACGCGACGCATGAGCCACGTATGGTTAATCGAACTATCAGAAATGAGCCAAGTGGTCAAGTGCCAAGAGCCTACGACAGACAATTGGTTTAACTCTGCAACACGAAGCGTTGAGAGAGCCTTGGTTGATCCAATGGTCCCTGCACTGAATGTGCTACAGAAGCTGCACCGTCCAGCCAAGCTCGTAATACAGCTTCACGGTAATACTTGCACTCGTCTTCCTCACGCGCTTGTCGCTCGAACACCGCAGCGGCTACAAGGACTGTGCGCTACAGACTCGAACGAGCCGATGCCGAAGCAACCGAGGCGTGAATGCATCAAGGAGGAACGATAATACCATCAGCAAACGACAGCAAGCTCACTTTTGCGTTGAATTGATCATCTCGTTGGGATGATCACCGTTGGCATCCCTCAACCTCGTGCAGTAACGTGATGCATTGGCCAACCTACCTTAGTGCAATGGACCGTCCACTGCCTAATGCTATGTCAAGGGCATTGTGTCAAGGGCGCCGCATGAATAATACTACGTTGAGGCGCGTCTTGCTGACGTGTCTTGGCCAAGCTCAAGTATTTTAAATATCTACATCAGCAAGGGGTCGATGCCCTTGGTGCTCGTAAAGCTCGTCCGACGATCGAGCAACAACTCGGGTTGGCGGGCCATCCAGGTTAACCGACACTGCATCATCACCTTCCCATCTTGAAAGCACTGACTGCCAGCAACACACAAATGGTGTCGTGACGGTTGGCGACGACCGGCGGTGTCACCAGGTCCACCATACTGCACAGCACGAAGAAACAAGGGAGT